GAGGGCACCAAAGGCCAGCGGCATTGCAACCGGTGTGCCTTTCACTTTGGAAAAATTCTGAATCGGACCGTTCAGGAAAAGGGCACCCTGTTCAAGGAAGCAGGCACCAACAGCCTCCGTTGCCACTGGAACTTTACGAGACATCATCGCAATGCCCGTGCTTCTCCATTAACGAAATCCGGCATCGGCCCATTCGGCCAAGCGACACCTTTCTTTCGGACCACCATTGCATTTATTTCCTTGAGACGCCAATTGCAGCTGGGGGATTGAAAGAACAACTGAAGCTGGTCCAAAACTTCCCTTTCAATGGGCACCGAAATACAAGGGCACCACGATTGCCCCGCCTTACATTGTTGAAATCCTGGTTCAGCTCCTACGGTGAATAGGCAGCAAGCACCCTAATCGCGGGGAATCATAACATTTATTTTTATGAGCCCCCGATTTAAACTGGAACACCACAATCGACCCAAACATTTATTTTAAGGCGATGCAGGATTCCCTGATCCCTTGGGCCCGAAGATCAAGGGCCCGATTAGAGGGTTCGAGGGGCAGGCCAGAGATCGTGTGGAGGGATCACAGCCCGAAGACCGGACCCTAAAATGTAAGAGTGGTTCTATCGCCGATCGGAGACCCGTGCGAATGTGTCTTTGTTTGAAGCAACTGACAGCGAACAGCCGTATCGAAAGTCCGCTCCGTGCTTTTCTGGGGCCTAGGGGTTATTACCCGAGCAGAGACAAGACCAAGATTTCTAAATGCCAATTGGATGGCATCCTTCATTTGTCGGGACACCTGAAACAATGAAGGACCTACATTGCTGGTCAGTGACCACAGTCCCTAGCAGGAGACCATGTGTCGGCAATGAGCCCCAGGTCGGCCAAGAGTACATTTGCTGAATAAGAACGATGATGGGGCCCCCGTATGTCAAAGGGTCTGTTGTGCTGGTCTGGACCCTTCTGACAATGAAAGGATTCATGAGAAATGTTAAAAGAGGGTTCTCATGTCCAATGATGCATTGGAGAGGCCTGTGCCCGTCAGGGACACCAGAACCGCATGAGGGATTCTCTGCACCATTTCAACCAGGGACCGATAAGGCGAATAAGAGTCTCGATACTAATTATTGGACTTCCTGTGCCAGTAGTCTGTTTGCATCAGCGAGAGGCCTTGCGCCGATCCGTTGCTGCATGCCTCAGTTAGAGGGCTAGCCGCATCGAGGAGGGGACCGGTTGTGATGCATCCTTATGAGGGTGTCCGTACGGTCCTGGGAGCTCTCACTAGACTTAAAGCCGCTGGGGACCCCAGATGGAACGTAATGCCCTTCAGCTGCTGACCAGAACGTTTTACCAATGCAATTTAGTTGTCTGACCAGTTGATTCTCTGAACGGGTTCAGCAGTTGCAGCATTACGAGCAAGAAACATTACGCCATTGCGTCTTCCCGTAATCCATCCCGACCACCAATCTAAGAAATTGCACCAGTGAAACATCTGGAAGCGGACACCTTTTACACGCATACCCACTGCCTTCATAAAGCGTTGAAAAGTACCGATTTTGATACCTGGTCATTTCCACCCGTCTGTTGACCGCTGCCAGGTGTTGCTGCAAGGCTCCGTTTGCTGCAATGGTGTAACTACAACATTTTTGTTCCGACGTCTCACAGATCAACTTACGGAGGGGACACCAAGGAATCACGCGCAGCCCGACCACAATACTCTTCTCATGCGCCGAGCGCTTACACAAAACACTGCAATTTTATCATCTACACACAAAACAATAAAACTCAGCATTCTGGATGCACTACTCATTCATGAACATAAATAATTTCTAAGCAATGAAATGAATCAAACTATTAAATTATCTCTTTGGAGCAGCATCACAAATATATCAATTAGACAAGGAACAAGACGCTGATGAATGGCGCGGGTATTGAGTGGCTGGCATGCAGTGTTGTGATTTTGCTCTGTTGGTTGTGTTATTCACACCATGTGGTGCTAATGATGTCTTGTGCACGGCTAAATAATTGTTTTTGTTACCAAGTCAAAACGACAGTGCGTGCTGTCCGGTTTATTGCTGGTTTGCATGCTCGTGTTTTATGCTCTGATTTTAAGTGCTTAAGGTGCCAAAATGAAATAAAAAGGAGATTTATAGAAGAGTCAGTCAGCAGTCATAAAACGCACAAGTTTTGCGAGCTTCGTGTGTCTGTCGTTATAAAAGTATATATATATATATATATATATATATATGTATGTATATATATATGTATATATATATATATATATATATATATATACATGCACATATATGTATACATGTATGCATACATCATTATTAAATGCTCTGTGCGATTCGGCCAAAGCACCGGCCAGAACTAACACAACCATCTCGGAGTGATCGGAAGCAGTAAACTTCACGGTAACTAAATCTCCACCCATGTACACTGCGAAAATTCTAGAAAGCTGGAGAAGGCCTCTTACTTTGTGAGCTCCCTAAAGTTCAGGGCTCTATCCGCCAAAGATCTTCGTATTCCGGTCATTGGCTTTTAATATTCTTATGTATGCAGTTTGTGTACGGGAGCCTAGCTTGCTGCTCACAGCTCTAGGAAACTAGGCGTGCTTCTTACGCAATTACATGAAGCTTGTTCATTTTCGTCGGATCATGGTGCATCCTGTCATTTTAAGGCCAAATACTTCGAGGAAAACATGGCAACATACACATCAATTGGGTGTTAAATACTATCAAAATCAGGCACAAGCTTGATTCCTAGCTTATATACGGTTAGCAGGGCAGTTGATGAGATTAGCTGACGGCTGGGAACTGCTGCGGAATTTTTGCTTTGTTTGTTGCCAAGGAATACAGAACATTCTATTCTTCAAAATGTACTAAAACGTAACGTACAAGCATAATAATCGTCACAAATTCAATAAACAATGGAAATAAGATGCACGACGTCGGCGGCGTGTAGAACTGTGTTCTACAATGGCAAGAACAAATTCATCGGCGCAACCGGCATAGCCGCGCGTTCAGTCATCGGTCGAAAAGGAGTAAAGCCCCAATAAAAATGATTATGATTTAGGTCCCCGTCAACGGCCCATGCCTTCCTATAATATGGAAAACCCGAGACTAATAATAACGGCACCTGGGCAATCGAAACTGCCGTGGCAGACCAACAAAGAGGCTCCAGTGAACAGTGAATGGTCCTCATAACAAGCGAGAAGAACCTCACACCAATATGGCGGGACCCCTGAACGATCCGGAGCTCCCCGGCAGGCTAACATGTAGGGTCCCGCCGGAGTACAAGATCCCCTGAAACAAAGGGCAATAACCGAAGATCAGTGTACATGAATTAACGCCCCTGTGTGATCAAGAATGCCTGGGCAGGTAAGCAGGGAGAGCTCTGACAAGCAAAGTGAAATGAAGGGTCCTCAGCAAATAAGCTCAAAAAGGGGAAGAGCCACAAGTCAATAAAGAGGGCCCCTGAGCATGGAGTGCCTCGGAGCGTTACCTTATATGGGGCCCAGCAACCGCACGGTGTCCTCCAAGCAAGTGGAAAGAACCCGATACCAAAATGAAGGGCCCCTGAGCAACCGAGAGTACCGGCATTTGGGACCCAGGCAGCAGGGGCGGGGCGGGAGAGCCCGCTTACCCCGCGGGCGCAGCGGTCCCTGCCGAGCCCGCGCTGTCCGCCATGTCTCCGGCCGCGCCACCGCCCAGCGCGTCTACGCCCAGTCCGCCGGTGAGCCCCGGTGCGCGGCCACGCCTAGCCAGGACACGGCCGCCAGACGTCTAGGTAATTTATGGTAACCATGCTTGACTGTACGCATCACGTGATCATCAGTGGAATGCCAGGTTGACTGTGCCATCTGTTGACAAAAGAGATACATAACGGAAATACTCGAAAGTGCTTCTGTACTGTTATCTAACGGCAGGAATCCAAACTAGCCTGGTTGCCATGGATACTGGACGTTTTAAACACTGGACTTAACGACTCTGGACTTTGCGACTCTGGACGTTGCGTCCCTGGACCTTATGAGTGCCCCCAATGGGCACGGAATTGGACGTTTTCTGGAATTTATGAACGCTTGATGCTGCGATCCTGGACGATATGAACACTGGACGCTGCGATCCTGGACGTTTTGATGGCTCCCTTCGTGAGAGCTTTGCCTCCTGGCTTTCTAGCCCCAGGCGCTCGGCTGGGACGCCAGGCAATTGATGATTAATACACCTTGCAGCTGATATTATGGCCTGTTCGGAGAGGAACGAGTCTTGCCATGATCCAATCGAAGATATGTAATGACTTCCAGTCTTACAACCGTCTCAAAAAGCCAAACAGACTTGCGGTATGCATGTATCTGCCGTTGACCACTACGTACCGAATATACTTGTGACGTCATCGGTCGAAGCAGCGGAATCTGGCCGGACGGTTACACCTTCTGTTCGAAGGCCTTGACATTCATCAACCAGTGTCACCGATCGTCACTGATGGAGACTGGGCCACGTCTTAGATATACGTTTGTTTACATTTGCTGCTCGGCGGCTACGGTGCAATGTCACTGAGGGTACGCTCCACGCCGTAACGCTAAAGCGCCCTAGTGAGTTTCATGCCAAAGTCGTGACGCTGTGAAGTCAGTGCTGGAGCGAGGTAGAGCAGTGCTCGAGCCTGGTCCTGAACTCGCTCACCGCTTTGGTAAGCTGGCCCGGGTCGTCACCAGAGCAGGCCTCATTAGCGTCATTTGACGGCGCGTGAGGCGGGCGGCGGCAACGCCACCTCCCTGTCCGTGTCTGCGCACGTCCAACTGATCCCTGTCCCAGTCTCGGTTACGCGCCGATCGGCGACGACAGCTCACAAGACTCGGCACTCGCCCCTCACGGGTTAGAGGCGTCCAGTCGCGCGCGCGCGCGCGCGCTGCCACGGGCCGGCGCCCCTGATTGGCTGCGTTGAGCGCGCGCCGTGCCGCCGGTTTTGGCGTGCCAGCGCCGGCCGTTGCCCGCGGCAGTTGCTCTCGGTGAAGCAGGGGTCGGCAATGGCTGGGCTGTGGTGGGCGCCACCGCTGCTGCTGATCACCATGCAGCTTATGGTGTCAGGTGAGGGGCGAGGGCAGCCGGTACCACGGCCGGCCTCTCACCGGTGACTGACCTCACGTGTAGCCCCAATCCTGCGCCGATCAGTCTGGCTTGACGTCAGCTCGGCAGGCGAGAGGGACGTTGCGCTGGCACGTGGCAGTGTGCGTCTAGTTCCCGATTTGGCGTGAATACGCGTATCCAATTTGCATGTTTGCACTCTTGTTGTAACATTGCGGCGGGACTAAAAGTTGCTGCGGAATTTTTAGATCATTTAAGTATATTCAACTGTCCAGAACAGGGTAGTGGCGCGGGCAGGGGGCGTAAGGGCACTTGTCCCTTTAGGCCTCATGTCGCCATAATTTGCTGTTGCCAGCTACGCCAGGCTGGGCCGGAAGGGTTCTTCAACCCGGGAGGGTAATGCCCCTCTAGTGTTTTATTCACAAGGACCCCTGCCCGGGGAGACCAGTGGGCTGCACACTTCAATTGGGTGGATCAAACGGGCTTCAAAAATAAGTATTGATATGATCAAACACATGTCTTTTCGAACACCTCCGTTCTTTTCAGAATCGCTTCACGAAAACAATGAGAAATAGTTTTGGAAACGCGCCCTCGCAATGTCTAGGGGCATAAACGCGGATGCCCAGCGTTCCAGTCTCACTGGAACTAAGCGGCGGTAGCTACCACAGCCATCACTAGGCGGCGGGCGGCAGGCGCGCGAGAAAGACCATGTGTCGTGGAATATGGCTTGTGAAAGCACTGCACCGTTACAAAAGCAAAGTTAGGTGGCATGTGTTTCGCCTCTGTAATTTTGAGGTTGATTCTCAGGATAAACCATCAGTTACAGCAACACGAACAACGCGAACGTACTTGCAAAATATAAGGCACGGGCTGTCTTCCCTACTTATGAAACGATTGGGTACAATATTTGAAGTACTGCCTCCCGAAAGGTGATCGTTTTCGTCCACCCGCTGGTAGTCGATTGGTGAAGTGGTGGGGCCAACTCCACGCGGGTTATGGGAACTGCAAGGCGAGACATCAGTGTTTTGCGCCAAAGACTGCGAGCACGCACGTTCGAAGCTGTTTCATGTTTTCCATTAAATGGCGCTGAAAAAGCAATTATAATCACGAGGAGAGCAGAGGCTGGCGAGATCGATACAGCTTTTAAACCCCGTTTCCATCTATGATGGTGTTCAATGCGGTAAACGGAGCCGCGGGGTCAGTAATTTTGTAGAACTCAGCAAATTTTGGCCTCGCCCTAATTGTTACGGGTTTGGAAACGGCGGAATGCACCGCTGTAGGATGAGAAGCGTCGATGGCTGGCTCAAATCCGTCGTCTCTTGCCTGCCGCCTTCATTTCACTGCCGTCTAAATACGAGAAGAATCGCATCTTCTGGTGGTTTCTGTCTCATGCCTCAATTAGAGGCCGTTTACACTCAAAGGGAAGAAGAACACATAAACAATCGCTGAGTAGTTCTTTATCAGGATTACAGAGGCGCGCCAATGCTATAGGCAGATCGGAGCCAAAGCCCAATTCCAGAAAGAATAGGGGCGCTCATAAGCTGGCGGAAGGGGACGCCCAGGGTCTGGATGAAACATGCCCTAAACGAAATCACAACAACCGCATAAGGGCGCCCTAGGCCGGATTAGAACGACATGCTAAACAGATGGAGAGGCGCCCTCCCCCCCCCCCCCCCCTCATAAGCCTGGCTAAGTGGGGCCCCAATCATTGATCAACTCATGCTCTTTGTAACGAAATATGCAAGCTGTGTTCATGGAATTTACGAAAACAACAATGTCCCTCATGGCTGGCCAACAAGATCAGGTAACACGACGTTCGGAAGCTAGATAAAGGGGGAGTAGAACACTGTAGGGCAGGAGGCTGGGGGAGAATATTGGAAAGGAGAATTCTCAAGGGGTAGGTAAGTAAGGAGTGACTGTTTCTCCCATGTGGAGGAGAGCTCCGCACTTACAGCACAAACACGACAGAAGCGCAACAACGCACGTGAGAAGAGCGAGATCGCAGACACGAGACCAGGGTAACATTGCGCGTGAGTAGAGCGGAGCGGTGCAGCGGAGTCAGGTAGGGTAGAGCAAGGGACACGGGAAAGGCGCATTCGAAGGATTATAAATTATTATTATTAAATCAGAAAGGAGAGAGTGCACATCCCATATAAGGAGACCTGCTTTCTTAGGAGGAAGGGCGGCAAAAACTCGGATGAATGGATGTCTTTGCGCCTTTGTGTTTTCATTGGCTACCAAGGTAGAGGAAAGTCAAGATAAACCCGAGCCGAGCTTACTACAGAGAACCGTAGGCAAAACGATGACCAGGTGGCGGTTATCGGTTAAACGTTTTGGAAACAACTAGCGCGAATACGATATATATATATATATATATATATATATATATATATATATATATATATATATATATATGCCTATTTAGGCACTCATCTGATAGCTAGATAGATGAGATTTGCATAGCATATAAATGTGGCTGCATTTTTGGAGGCTGGTATTACGCGTGCTGTTGGCCAGATGGAGTTTTCCTAATAACCATTTTTGAAATGTCTTACCGTTAGAAATATATGAATTTCAAAAAGTTTGGGCAATTGACCTTGATATTTACAGAAAAGAAGTGTGATAATCTGTGTACAGAATGTGCTTGAAATTTTTTTAGCTGTGGCGACTGATCTTGTCACCTCACGTTTTGTTCTTATATGCTACATGACCGGGAGCTCCGGTAGCGCAACGGTGTAGCTGCGTTTTTAAAAAGCCAGGGTACGGGGCTCGGTTCCCCGCGCCGCCGGCTCTTCTGACCAGGTTGATAGGTGAGTGGCGCCTTGCAACCTAAGTGACTGAGTGCGTTATTAGGCTCAATTGGCGACCAAATGACGATACTCCACCCTCGCTTCTTGGCCATCTTCAGAATGGAAGGCAAGGCATCAACTGATCTGGCGTTGTTTTGATCCAGGTTCGCCCAGTCCGCGACCGTCGGGATGGTTTAAAAGGAACGCCGCATCCAAGTTTTCAAATTGTACTACGCAGACCCATCGAGTTTTCAAATTGTACTACGCAGACCCATCGAGTTTTCAACATCCAGCACCTGACGCGTGAACTATCTGACTCTTTAAACATTCGCTTCGTCAGCTCGCTCAAGCATGACGTTTATACTGAATGCCGGTATGTTGATTTTCGCCTTCACGTGCGATAAGTTGCAATTTCTCCTCTTATTTTCAGTCGCTGTGATGCAATCTGTTGCCGTTTGCCCGTCTGGTAGTCAGGGCTGGTCGCGTTATATGAAGCTATCCATATCCAACCATCATTACCATCATATCAAGGTGACATGAACTTAAAGGTGCTGGACTGAATTACATATTACGGAATGATTGAGACCAGGTAATGTTGTTACGGATGTGATAATCCTTTTATCACTCCCGCGATGTGTGTTAGTACCTACACGAAGGGGATTTTCCGGCAAGCTGATTGCGCGGACGCCGTGATGTGTCGCATGGCCCGTAGATGGACTGGATAGTGTTTTCGGCTGTGCCTTTTATGCTAAGAAGGGACATGTCGGAGGTGTTTGGGAATATTTCCGGCTGAAAATCAAAATTATGGAGTGTTGTATCACGAGAAACCTAGGTGATATGTTGATGTTTTGAATTTAAATTCAAATGAGGCTTTCCGCAGTTTTGGGCTAGGACCGTGCCATTATTTTTGCCTTTTCTCCTACTGCTAGATCGGACGCGTACTATTTTATCAGTAATACCGGCTTTCTCGAAATCACGCTGAAAAGCTAATAACTTCGCTTTAAAGTAATGCCTGCGGGGGAAATGTTATTGGGTTTCCTGTTTTATAACTGCGGAATTAATATGGTTTCTTTGCCTTGCTTTTTCCACGTGTGCTTTGTAATGTTTGCAACACATCTATTTGTCAACAATGTTTATGTAGTAGATTCTACGAAAGCTTGAGATGCTCTGTTTAAACAAAATATATGCAAAAATGAAGCTGTCATTTCACGAATGTAACATAACTTTATATTTTAGCTTTGATTTCTCCCCTATGCCGCCTATTACGATGGCTCTTTTCGAGGCGCGTTGGGGCTCCGGGAATGAAAATATAATCTGATATTTAGTGACGCACTGGTTCAAATTTCAACCAATATGCTTCTCGGTTACAGGGTCTCGTCACCCGCTAGGCCAACAACAAACGGTCTTCTATTCGCACCAGTAGAGCTGCCACGGCGGTTGTCAGGATGGTGGTGGTTGTGCTTGCAGGATAGAAGCGTAATGCTGTAACAAAGGGTTGGCGGCGTATGTTTGACTCGGAAATAATTATAAGTTATATCTTTATTACGTCTGGACGGTGCAGCAGTGGCATTAGACAATGCTACTATTAGATGTAACTGGTCCGAACGTTTCACTGGAGTATGTTTTTGAAATATGCCCCGAAATGTGAGGCATTCTCTTTCAACTTAAACATGACTACATTTGTGGTTAGGTCGAATAACTTAAGAAGCCTGCGGAAGTATGACATGGTGGAGGATGCGTGGTGAGAAGACACCACACGGAGGACGTATGGTGAGAAGGCGGTCACTGACCGGCATGTCATGTGATCAACATCATAGACAGATAGCAACACTACAAAATTACAAAGATCAAGCAAGCAGCACTCATGATACTTAATAGAACCTTTTCAGCAAACCATTTATAGAAATCAGTCCAAGATGGCTCCCAACGCTGGGAAAAGTCCCCAAATAACCTCGTAAACTTTTTAGCAGAGCGCTGGGCTCGTAATCAAAAGACAACGGTTCGAATCATAGTGATCTCGAGGAGATAATTTGTATTTCGTCGCGCACAAGGCTGAAAGCTCAACACCATCCAGTTTTTCTTAGCACTCAACCTGCGGGCAGTCGCAGTGCTAGATTGCGGAAACGTCGCGTACATACTAGAGCTGCCACTTGTTAGCCCGCGCGCCCGTAACATGTTGTTCAATTACACATTCATGACATATTGAGTCATGGC